TGACTAAACAAGTATAAACAGCAGATTTAAATATAAATGCCTTCATGTATTATAAAATATATTACCAGACAGGTATAGACAGGGCACACGGCACAACTACATCACTATACGAGAACGAAATAAAGCCATCCTTACCTGAATTATTCAAAATATTGTCGATCATTCTTGCGCCAGAGACACAAAATAACACCGTGCTTTATTTACCCATTCATCTTCACAAATATTACTCGGAATTTTTATGGAAATTCGCATTATTTTATGATTTTATATTTCTGTCCGTTTATAACAGTCGCCATGTTGTGAACAAACCCCCCCGGGAACAAAAAAATAATATCAAAACAGCTAGTTTTGGCCCGTCCGTGGATGACAAAATGACATAAATCGAGATTGTAGCGGCTATAAACTCGGCGGTCACGTGGTAAGCACACCTCATGCTACTAATCAATGAACTAATTATTAAAAAGTAAACAGACCTTTAAACTGAAGAACTTGATTGGCTTGTATACATTGGTTTCTTTGTCATATAGTTCAATTGCTGTTGCTTGTAAATGTTTTATAAACCAGTACTGTGAAGTAGCGAAATTTCGGGCCGTCTTTCACAACAAATAACATCACAATAACTGCACATCATTTTCTCTTTAATACAGAATCATTTTCCCCGTCCATTGAGTTATAATTTCCAAAACGAACCAGTCGCTATAACGTAAAATAAGCGGGTATTTGTGAGCAAAAATGCCCTTTGATATGACACGAGGTAACCAGCGCCATCTTGTCTTCTCCAAACATTACAGATTTTCCCGCCAAAACCCGCCCCCAAAGTCCCGTATGTACCCAGTCTCCTACGCAGCCTGTTCGCGGGTCCGAGGTTTTCTCACAGGCTGCTTTAATACTGCAGCGGCATAGTACAAAACATGGACTGGACTGGACTGGACTGGACAGTTGGACTGGACTGGGCAGTTGGACTGGCTGGACAGTTGGACTGGATTGATTTTTACATTTTCTCTATTCTTGACTTGCATGTCACCCACCATGTCAGGTGGCATGGCACAAAAGAATATTTTATCACAGCAGATATACCATGTCATGTCTATTTTGTGATTTTATCAATGAACATTGTCTGGTGTATACCAGGAGGAGATTGGTTGCAAGTCAAGAATATAACGTTTTGCGCCTGAATTACTTTTGATTTTCGGAAATTGAAATACTTTACCTTCCCGATGACCTCACTTTATAACTGGAGTGAAATCTCTTAAAGCGAAAGAAACCCCAGCAAGTAGAATACAATACAATACTGAACATAAACTACTTATCTGTCTTTGCTATGGGTAGCCTGCTCGCATACGTATTAAATTTCTATATTTCAGTCTGCATGGCCATGGGCGTAGAAAGATCGATAATTGGGGGGGGGGGAGCTCATATTCATACATTCGTGTTCTGCATCATTTACTTCTTTTGAAATTGATTGTTTTTACAGTCTGCGAACATGAATATATGAATATGAGCCCCACCCCCCAAAAAATATCGATCTTCCTACGCCCATGGCCATGCAGGCTGAAATATCAAAATTTAATACGTATCCGAGCAGGCTACCCGCAGGCTATAACTAGTTTATGTTTGGTGTTGTATTCTATTCTACTTAGGGGCTGACTGACCATTTAACTTTTGAGGAGGGGGTGATTTTGAAAAAACATTTCCTGCAAGGCTATTCTGAACAAAAAAAATGCCTGCACTAACAAACTGTGGGGGGGGGGGAATACCCTGCCCCAGTATTTGGTGGGAAAAAAATGTTGTAAAACAGCATGGTTGCAGGGATCGATTTGACCAGTCCCAGAAGATCAGCTGGTTTGATTTTCGGAGACTAGTGTAAGGTTAATTTCATGTTGGAAAACTCCTCAAAATGCGGGAAATAGCTTATCTGAGCTTCACGAAATCCAAAATTTTCTGGGGGGCATGCCCCCAGACCCCTCCAGAGGCTCGCACCTTTGGTGGTCGACTCGGTTGTCTCAGAATCCTAGTTAATATTGGCCTGATCTGCTGCCCTGTGATGTATACTTATTAACTAGTTAAACCATGCATATATATGCTGGTAGCTGCAGTGATACAGACTTGCCGACTGTAACTTCTCCAGGTCCCCCCGCTAAATATGTCCCCTCCAGTTACACATCTGTAAAGAGGCCCTGAACCAAATCTTATACCTCATCAGGGCTGCAGAGAGGGGGGCAGGGGGGAATTGCCCCAGGCCCCCACCTTAATAGGGCCCCAACTTGAGAGCGAGAGCCTAAAATTGAGTAGATTCTTTAAATTGGTCAGAGAATTTTTGAAATTGAGGGCTCCTTACAGTACCTCCACATGCAGTCTAGCTAAGCTCTAGTTGGGTCTAGCTTAAAAATAATGATGTCATGGGGCCCCCAGGGAAGATTTGCCCCGGCCCCCGCGAATTCTCTCGGCAGCCCTGTACCTCATAGCAATATGTATTATTAAAAGCAATGCATGAAGCTAGAAAACTCAACGTTAACTATTATTAATTAAAGAATCTAAATGGTATAAGCTATTGAAAAAAATGCTGTGAAAGAGAGAGTGGCAAAAAAAATATGGTACATGGTGATGGGATAGGGAAAAAAAATCTTGCACATATAACGATCCCAGAAAAAAAATTCCCTTCCAGCAGCAAACCCCCCTCCCCCCCTCAAAAGTTAAATGGTCGGCCCCTTACTGGGGTTTCTTTCACTTTAAGAGATTTCACTCCAGTTATAAAGTGAGGTCATCGAGGAAGGTAAAGTATTTTCAATTTCCGAAAATCAAAAGTAATTCAGGTGCAAAACATTATATTCTTGACTTGAAACCAATCTCCTGGTACACACCAGACAATGTTCATCGATAAAATCACAAAATAGACATGACACGGTATATCTATTCTGTGATAAAATATTCTTTTGTGCCATGCCACCTGACATGGTGGCTGACGTGCAAGTCAAGAATAGATAAAATGTAAAAATCAGTCCAGTCCAACTGTCCAGTCCAATCCAACTGTCCAGTCCAGTCCATGTTTTGTACTAGGCCTCCCAATTTCCGTCAGCTTAATCTTCCGGTGTCTTCCGGATAGAATACACACAACCACAATAGTGACCACACAAGCAGACGGCAGCCCTAATCTATTTCTGCAGAGATGACAACTCGTCCAGGCAAAAATCCTCTGCTCCGTTCGAGCACCAAGACTTCTGTCTGGTCTCAATCGAGTCCCGAAGTTGTGCGACTCAAAGAAGACCAGGAACGTAAACAAAACTGGAAGCGTTGGGGACCTTACTTATCTGAACGGCAATGGGGCACGGTTAGGGAAGATTATTCAGCTGATGGGGGATGGTATGTTAGGAAATAAACCAGATTTTTAATTCTTCTTGCTTGTCTAGTGTACTTTTGCTTGTACTATTTCAAATCGATAGCGTGCAAACTTTACTATAATGACCTGTAATTTTGTGACATTTGTCAGATATTAATTTGCTACAGTTTATAAATACGCCGCCACGCTTGTATATACTTCCATAAAAGGGTTTTAAAATTCCCATGCTTATTTAGTGTGCTTTTACATGATTTTACTGTAAATATTAGAGGTTATAGACATTCACTTTTATATATAAATGACCGGTAAAAATTTGTGACATTGGTAAAGCTGTATAGATCGAGAGGCTAGTTTCCTTTATTGATATTTTTGCATGATTTTATTATGCTTATATTCACAGTTTTTATTGCTATCTAATACTACAATAGTATATTTTGCTTGATTTTAAATGTTATAGCATGCGCAATTTGCGGTAACAATGTGTGAAATTCAGATTGTCAAATATTAATTTGATACAGACGTTTATATCACACGAGTCAGTCCGAGTCACTTTCGTTTATGAATTTATAAAACTGTACCAATTGTTTACATTTTTGTATAAATTTGTTACATAACAACAGATTTTTATTGTGCTTTATTTTGCAACAGTATAAAAATGAAATATATTGTTATGTTCCTAAATTTCGAATAAATATCAATGCATGTTTTGACCTACTTCCGCATGCGATTATGAAATCGATCAAATTTCAAATTTCGCTGTATTTCAACTATTTCCAAGAGCTACGGTAATTATTTGCATATATTTAGATAATATATCGATGAAACGAGAATGGGCTAAGTTTGCTTGCCTGAAAACTAGGAAACATAACAATTTTGGGCTGCATTTTAGCTGAATTGTTGCAAGTTATATAACTTCGATAATTCATTGTTTATATAATATAATTTTTTGCATAACTCTGAATAAATTAGAGGCACGAGATTTTAGCTGTCAATTATAGCAGTGTGAATAATTGATCATTATCTGAGTAATTATTGATCATTATCTGAGTAATCAATAATTAATAAGATATGAATGTATGTTTATATTGGAAATATTTTTAGCTACAACATAATTTCTTCAGCAGGCGACAGAAGATTTGTTTAGGCAAACTGTAGAGGTGTCTGGAGTTTCTGAAATGTTATTTTCAAGGAATGGTAAATTGCACGTCTTTGCTCTTGCATGTATACCGTATCACAAACAGCAAAATGTGGGAATGACAATGTCTGATTGGTCTGCCAGAAATTGTATTGACATAGCTAAAAATAGTTTCACATTTTAACTATGATAGATTATGACAGGCATATATTGGAATGTAGTCACTTTCCTAAATGTTTTGATGTAATTATTTAAACATTGCACTTTTTCGAGCAAGAGAGCAAGGATCTGTGGATAATGGCTATATCCTGTAGAGGTCTTCTTAAGGATGAAGTAACTTTATTATTCTTTCAAATAGAGGCAATTGTAAATGTTCTGAAAAGCTGTGTTTTATCTGATCCATTAAGTTAGTTTGGTTTAGGTTCCCTCTGTTTACCCCTCCCCCGCTAATACCCCCACTCCATACACACCATTATCAGATGGCCCTTGCTGTACCTCTAGGGAAAACAGTTTGGAACTGATAGAGCTATCCAGAACAAATAAAGTTAGTTTAGTTTTAGTTATGTACTTACACAGATGAACCATGATGCAAATATGTCTGGAGTTTAATAACAAAAAACAAATATTTTCAGTTGGGATTACTTTACCCACGACCAAGCAAGATCTCGAGCATATCGCTGGGGTGAAGATGGCCTGTTAGGTATAACAGATCGTGAATGTCGACTTTGCTTTGGACTCGCTCTGTGGAATGGAAAGGATGCCATTTTGAAGGAAAGATTGTTTGGCCTTACTGGACCTGAAGGTGAATGAATAAAAAAGAATAATATAAATTGTTTTTATTAAAATGTTTCCTATTACTTAGCATGCAGAAATTAGGAATAATTCGTTAGTAGTTACTTATTCTAATTCATATTTAATGTTTAATTTAATAAGTGATTTATAAATATTTACCTCATATGAAGTAAATAGTTAATTAGGTATTAGTTCATTTGTGATTAACTAATTAATGATTAGTTAATTAGTTATTTGTTAATTTGATATTAGTTAATTAGTGATCATAATTATAATTAGTGATTGGTTAATTGGTGATAAGTTAATTGATGTTTGCATGACGATAAAATATAATGGTTTTGTTTGTGGAAACACCACGTAAATTTATTACTGCAAGTAATAAATTTACGTGGTGTTTCCACAAACAAAACCATTAAGTTAATTGATGTTTAGTTAATTAACAGTTTGGCAATTATTGATTGGTTAATAAGTGATTAGTTAATGAGTAACTAGTACAATAATAGGTAATTAATAACTGGTAAGTACTAATTAGCTGTAGCAATTCCAATCAATGTTGATTTAATAGTAATCAATCAATCACTGGATTTAATAACCAATCAATGTCGATTTAATTAGTAATCAATCATTTGTAGTCAGTAATTAGTGATGGGTAAAGTGACATCTATAGGTGGTAATTAATAACTATTAATTGGTATTTGATAATTAGTAAAGTTGTGTAATTGGTAATTAGTAATTGATAATTAGCCATTTCCCAATCAAGCAGAGGACTGGGTCTAGTTGATGTTTGGAGAGACGTTTGGAGGGACAACAAGTTATAGTGAGCGAGCTAAATATATATTAAAAGATGCCTTGTTATAATTGTTGCGTTTCAGGCTGCACAAATAACTTTAGGAATGTAGGAAAACTTCCTAGATCCCTCCAAACTAGTCGCTTGACCCAGTCCTCTGCTCGATTTGGAAATGGCTAATTGATAGCTAGTAAAGTCAAATAAATATTCATTCTAATGGACCATTCCCCCAATTAACCAAAATTTTGATCTCAACAAGTCTAGACAAAGAGCATCACAAAATTAGTAATATTCCAAAGTTTCGTTGCGAAATGCTGTAAAATGCGGATAATATAACCTTGCGAAGTTTGCAATTTTCAGTCATTTTAGATTACAAACGGAAAATGGTTACCACTTTTCCAAAATTTTGATCTTAACTAGCCTAAACAAAAATTTCATCACAACTTAAAAGAGCATCACAAAATTAGTAATATTCTAAAGTTTCGTTGCAAAATGTTGTAAAATGCGGATAATATAGCCTTGCGAAGTTCGTAATTTTCAGTCATTTTGTATTACGCACAGAAGTGGTAACCATTTCCCGTTTGTAATCTAAAATGACTGAAAATTGCAAATTTCGCAAGGCTATATTATCCGCATTTTACAACATTTTGCAACGAAACTTTGGAATATTACTAATTTTGTGATGCTCTTTCGAGCTGTGATGAAATTTTTGTCTAGACTTGTTGAGTTCAAAATTTTGGTTAATTGGGGAATGGTCCATTAATATTGACATGTTCTCTAACCGTTATTTAACACGTATCCTAGGTAACCACGGTGAGGATGTAAAAGAATGTTATTACTATCTGGATTCTCTGCCGACACATAGTTACATGAAAGCTATGTATAAGTATCCGCAAAATGAATATCCATATCAGTGGCTGGTTGAAGAAAACAGACGAAGAACCGTCCATGATTTGGAGTTTGAACTTTGTGATACAGGTAGAAACTTGGGGGAAGGGATTTAAATGTGGTCTACAGTATAGTCCTGCATATATATAAGAACCTACTGTTTTGAATAGCTTCTTATGATATCAGCAAAAGCAATGTGGACAAAGGAAAAAGTTGCTTTGCACGAACAAATTTCCCTAGTCGGAACAGGCTTTATGCATGCGGGTTTTGAAATTCCGGTAAAGTCCCCATAGTTAAGTATTTGAACTGACTTCTTAGACTCCTTGAACTGTCTTTTCCGGTGTAGGTAGTGCCAATCAAATGAACAAGCTTGCATGATGCAACTACCTTCTCAAACTCCGTAATTTACATAGTTTTGAAGTACTGGTACTTTGGGTTAAGATTGCAAACGGCAAGACAGTTCGCAAACGGAAAACCGCAAGTCGTATTTTGAAGTCAATTGTTAGCTGTTCGAAGATTGGACAACTTGTGCACTAAAATTGAAGCATCAGTTAGCTAAAAACATGCCAAAACCTTCGAAAACGTATAGAACGTTCTACGTACCTTCATATGCGATTTGAAAATTACGACAACGTACTGTAGACGAGTTGTGTGCTAAGTTGTAAGCAGATTGCATGCAGCAGTTTTGGGCAAAAGTTGCGTTTACAACATTTCGCAACCAAACTTTGCAATTTTACTCATTTTAATATGCTCTTTCTAGCTGTGGTGATTTATTTGCATCTCCTTGCCTAGTTTTAAAGTGCCTATATCATGGTTTTGGAGTTTGCATATCTAGAAAGTTTAGGGTATTTTAAATTAAGACACTTTGCAATATTTTTTGTAATTGAAAAATTTCATTTTGACGGATTTATTAGCTCTTAAAGTTACCGGACATGACATCAAAAGGAGAATTTTGTTGCAATGATACAAAGGAAAACTGATTTGCAATTCTCCTTTTGACGTCATGTCCGGTAACTTTAAGAGCTAATAAATCCATCAAGATGAAATTTTTCAATAACAATATATATTGCAAAGTGTCTTAAAATACCCTAAACTTTCGAGATATGCAAACTCCAAAACCATGATATAGGCACTTTAAAATTAGTCTATAATGGGAATTGCTAATTGCTTTCTACCCTTAGGCGTATTCGACGAGGGCAAATACTGGGACGTTACGGCTGAATATGCAAAAAACGCACCAAATGATGTCCTTATCAAGGTCACCATCAGTAACCGTGGTTCGGAAGCAGCCACGATCCACGTCCTACCCACGCTATGGTTTAGAAACACCTGGATCTGGGGTTGTACCCACGAGGGATGTACCATGAAGGCTAGGATAGGACAGGACGGTGAGGGACGTGTAAGGACAAGGCATGATACGTTGGAGGAATTTGTATGTGACTTTGAGGGATCCGAAGAAGGGAAAGAAGCAGTATTGCTTTTTACTGAAAATGAAACTAACAGTGAGGTAGGTTTATCATGCTTTGACATATTATTCAGTCAGGCGTATCGGATATCGGCGCTAAATTCAAACTATCGGTATTTTTATTGCCGATATTATCGATATTGTATTATAACGACTTTATACAATATAGTTTAAATTCATTGTCGATTTCAAGTCACTTTTCAATGCGCGGTTCCCAAGTTTCTTTGCAATCTTGCCAATTACGTTTCCAAGTTCGAAAATTGGGCGCGAACTTCGCAACAAAGTTCGCAAGTTCATTTCAATGTTTGAACTTCGTTTGCAAACAAATGTTCATACTCAATAATAATAACCAATTCAATGAAATACAAACCTTCTTGGTAGACCACTGGACCAAGAACTTTCCATTGAATTGTTAATTTCAACTTGAACTATGAACATTTGTTTACAATAGATCAAACATTGAAATGAACTTGCGAACTTTGTTGCGAAGTTCGCGCCCAATTTTCGAACTTGGAAACGTAATTGGTAAGTTTGCAACGAACTTGGGAACCGCGCGTTGAAAAGTGATTTGAAATCGACAATAAAGTATATTTTGGATTGTATTAGACCGATTCGAAAAAATCGGAATCACCGATTATTCATGCAATAAAATCCCGACTTTCTTACATTTCCTTTAAGAAACTATACGGTGCTTCACAATACACCCCCTACACCAAGGATGCTTTTCATCGCTACGTCATCAACGGTGAGGGCGAGGCAGTCAGCCCTAAGAAGAAAGGCACCAAGGTCGCTGCACATCACGTGTTAGAGATCCAGGGGGGTGAGGAACGCGTGCTCAGAGTTAGGCTCACGATTGCCAAGGACGCATCGGAGAAGCCTTTCGGAGAAGATTTTGAGAAGATTTTTGAAAGTAGGAAGAATGAAG